AGCTGCTTTCTGCGTGTGATCCAATAGCGGTTGCAGATATCTGGTTTCCACTTTTATTATTATTATATAAGCTTTATTCCAAATCAGTACTTATGATACAGAATGGAATTCTCAGCATTTTACTACAATATTGCATCCAGTTTTTACTTTAACAATAAATAAAGTTCTACATAGATTAAAGATTATCTCAACAACATATTAGTATGTCGGTAGCAAAGCCAAAGTTAGAATGTTTGAAGGTGTTACAAAAGTAGATACTACTAGCATATTTACTGGCGTAAGCGATAGCAAAATGGTCGAGATATACAGAGTGTAAAAGAACAACAAGAATGTTTTAACTAGAGTTTGCAAGGAAGAGAAAAACAAAAACAGCACTTAACAAAAATAAAGACAAAAAAGTAGAGAGAATGGAAAAGAGAGAAAACGTTGTACCCATAAATGATGTGAGTTGGAAAGACGAGATTCATTGGTTCTAGTGACTAATTAATAAGTTAAAGGTTTCATGCCTGATGCATTCTTTATCACACAGAACACGGGCTAGGTAGGGTATGGATGAGTTTTTGTACTTACTAGTGCGGGCATATAGTTTCCTATATAGACTTCTTGTTTTCCCTGAAGAGATACATGGGGAGAGTTGTGAGTGTAGAGGGTGTTGTGAGTCAGATAAAATGGACTTCGCCCATTTTTCACATGAGTCCATGTGCCTGTCCACCAGAATGTTAACAAGCTGGCTAAGTGGTAAACTGCTTACCCTGCTGACAACCTTTAACATCCTACGTAATAAGGTATAGTCTTTCTTCAATAGCCCAGGAAAGACTAAGGGGGAGCAATAGAGAATTATAGGCAGAATACGGGAGTTAACAAATTGTAGTAGTAAGGGTTGGGTTACACCAGAATGTCTTAACTTCTTGATGTAGAAGGTAAGACGGTATATTTTCTTGGAAATCGTCAAGATATGAGACGACCAGGAAAGATCAGAAGATAGAGTGACGCCTAGGTATTTAATTTCCGACTTAGCTTCTATTTCAGTGCCATCTATGTTGCACACCTCGTGAGCGCTAACCAGTTTGTTTAGGTCAGATTTATGCCTAAAGGTGAAATTAACTGTTTGGCATTTGGAGGGGTTTAAGGTTAGACCGTTTTCCTTGGACCATTGGCTAATTTCTGATAAGAAGCCATTTAGTTTAGAGCAGTCATTTTGACATTTGACAGGTAAAGATACAGTTAGGTCATCAGCATATTTGACAAAGTTAATATCATTTGAAGACGGTAGGTCATGTAGGAAGAATGAAAAGAGAAGTGGGGAGAGTACAGCACCTTGGGGGACACCAGCTTCAGTGAGCACAGCAGAGGAGGATTGACCTTTGTATACGGTGTACTGCATTCTGTTTGAAAAGTAGGAATGCAACCACTTAGTGACCCAAGACTCGGTTTGTGTCGTGGATAGCTTATTTAGCAAGAGACTTCTAGGTACAGAGTCGAAAGCAGAAGTAAAGTCAAGAAACGTGCAGCGGACATATTTGGCACCTTTGTCTAATGATGAGACAATACTGTTGTGTAAGACGGCTGCAGCGTCTAAAGTACTCCTACCCTGTCTGTAGGCAAATTGTTTGGGGTCTTCGAAGCTTTTAAGGGAGGGTTCGAGTTTAAGAAGTATTAGTTTTTCCATGAGCTTTAGAAACGGGGAAGTGATGGCGATGGGTCTGAACTTTACGTTCTTGCTATTTCCAGGTTTAGGGACAGGGACTATTTTAATGTCTTTCCATGGAACAGGTACAACGTTTTCGGAGAAAGAAGCATTTAGGATATTAGTTAGAGGAGAACATAAAGCATCTGCACATTGTTTTAGGACATATGCAGGTATGCCATCAGGGCCAAGACTATGTGAGGGCTTAAGAGTTTTAAGACATTTCAAAACATCGAGAGTATTGAAGTCCTGGAAGTTATCAGCTACAAGATTGGTAACATTAGAAGTGGTTATGGTAGAAGGAGAGCGTATAAAAGACAGATTAAGAGCATTAACATCACAAGAGGGAAAAACATTACATCGCTTACTATTGCCAGTAATTTCATTGAAAAGTTTCCACATGCTGTTTGGAGATTTGCATGATAAAAGTGTTTGGTTATAGATAGCATTAAGATTTTTGATTTCAGATTTGATTTGAGCATTTATCTTTTTAAGTCCTAACTTGTCTTTGCATTTATATAACATTTCTTTTTGCCTGCGAAGTTGTTTGAGATGGGGAGACGAGAAGCGGTCGAGGCGTTTGAACAGTGTTTGTTTGGGACAGCATATGTCAAGGCAGAACTTGAGATAATCCATTATATTGGTGATTGAGTCATCTAATGTACTTTCATAGAATAGATCCCAGTTGGTATCTTTTAACATGCATCTTAGATTGAGTAAGTTGTCAGATGTGTAGCTTCTTTGTTGTGCCTTCGTGGACAGGTGTGAGAAGATTTTAATATGTGTTTTGCTGTATATTTTTGGCAAAACGCGGACAATGCAGTGATCGGAGTTATGTATCGGTGAACGTCTACGTGTTTCATATACTCCTTCATCATTGGTAAAAACCAAGTCAAGGGTTTTGTCAAGTCGAGTGGGAAATTTGACTATATTTGTGTGACCAAGAGCTTCAAGAAAGGAGCAATCTGATGTGTTGAAGTCTCCAGTAATAACGGATAGAGAGTTGTCGAAGTTGGCAGCAGCAAACATGGTGAATTCATCAGCAAAATTAGATAGATCAGATGGAGAGCAGCTAGGAGAAATGTACATGTTTGTAATATAGAATTGTTGATATTTGGGGAGGTGTTTGGGGCGACATTTGACAGTTATACAGTCAATGAAGTCATTTGAGAAGGTGAAGCAGATGTTATTTGAGACAGACCATTTGGAGTGAATAAAAGTTGCAACGCCACCACCATTTTTCTTATTACAACATTGACGGTCTTGTCGAAATAAAATAAAGTCCTTTAGTGAGATAAGGTTGTCATCATACAGTTCATGCAACCACGTTTCTTGTAATGCGATTATGGCAGTGTTATGATACGTATCAGTTGACATCAGGGATTGTAGATACATTATCTTATTTGGTAGAGAGCGACAGTTTGAGTTCATTATGACGGGGACCGTAGTTAAGTGTATTGGTGTACGTTTGAGAGCTCTCTGCCAACCACTACGATGTTTCCTTCTTGGTTTCTTTGGAATATGAAAGTCATTTGGTCGTAAATTATTAATAAAGTTACGAGAGTAAATGATTCTGTTAGAATTCATATTTAAGTGATAAGTGTATGCTGGTAAACAGGAAACTGGATGCAAAATGTAGATATTTTGGTAGCAGGCCCAAAAATTCAACAGGCTTACCATTTTTCTCGTCGAAGTAGTGGTTAAAACGCGAGCACAAGTGCTCAGAAGGATAACTGCTGAGCAAACTGACACATTAGGTATGACAGGATATAAGTCAAAGTGTTAGCGATTGCGAAACACCACTTATGCATCTACATAATTAAAAGCTTAGAAGTAAGCTATTATTCCTCTGATCGTTGGTGTAATTCGTTAATCGTTGAGGGCTAATCCATTTCAGTCTCAAGTACGAGTCAAGATGTCCCGTAGAGACTTCGAAGTAATAGCTGTATTTTAACTAAACTGAAATATTTAGAAATATCTAGGTGATATGAATAATATTCCATATCGAATTTTTGCAGTGTTTAGCAGACGGTGAGGCACAATAGAGAGAAGAAAATTGTATATGATTCCACCCGTAAAGGTACGAGAACGAAATCCGTTGAACACTTCTCATACCATATATAAGACCACTGATTCCGATTGCTCATCAAGAGAACCAGTCCCCAACAACTTTCTATTACGAGGAGCATTGAAGTAAAACAAAGGACAAATCATCAAAGATAAAACCTTCCTTATGATCATACCATCACTGAAAACGAATGTCGGCGTAAGAGAGCTCAGAAGTAAACTGCATCCCGAAAAGTTTACTTAACTTCTGCGTGTATAAATCAGACACCCACGAAAGTTGCTCCTAACATGGTTTGGTTCTCGACAAACACTATCAGGAAATGATTAGGATTATTCTATCTGGCACTTCAGTACTTATCATAGCTAATAAGGCCCAGACCTGGATACTGAAAAATGCCAGTATATTGCATTTGGGGCATTTGGCACGGATGAGTTTCAAAATGCCAGCACATTTACACGATGTGGGGTGATCAGTAGCACCAGGAAACTTCATCCTAGCGCTTGCGCGTGAAGGGGTTTGACAGATTTTACCCCAGAGATAATAGTTTGTCTATCCACAATACTAAGCTAGTAAAACAACAGCGGTGGAGTTTTAATGAAGCATGCCGTTCAAACACGAAGAAATTAATATTAGCCTGCTCTGTCAACTGCCATAAATTGATGATGCAGTTGTTTTGGCGTGGTGTGTGAAAGAGGATTTGGTGAACAGCATTGAGTCCTCAAACGAAGCCTGCTTCGAGCCCGGTGAGACATTTCTTGCTGCTGAAAATCCAAGTACTACTCAGATTGCGAAAGACTGGAAAGTTTGAATCTCTTCCCTTTGTCATACCATAGGCCGGCAGACCTCATGAGAATTCCCAAACATGACTCTGGTACTGGCCTATCTTCTCTTTTCCTTCCTGTCAGGACAGATTACATCTAAGGGGTGACTGTGTCACTGTGAAGTACTAGTTCTCACACAGAGTCATAAAATCATTGGACAGATTCCTCGAAGAGCTAATGTCAGAGGCCTCAAATGGCTCATTTAAGAAGGGTTTCAACAAGCAAAACTATTTATCCCCAATGAGTTGGCCTAAATCTGAAAACCACCAACCATCAATCCAGGGGTTCCTTCTGATATAGCCGAATAAGGGTGGTTGGCTAGAGGCTCAATGTTTTTCCCAGTAGCAAAATTCCACAGCTTAAAATGGTTTGGTTTCTGTAGTACTTTAACGGGAGTATTAAAGATGAAATGGTAATGAACCATTGATAATTGAAAGTGTTTGTCTGCCATTGACTTTTGTTTAACCCAGCTGGTCTTCCGTCTACCTCGGTTGCTCACTTGCGTTGTTTGTCGTGCTACTTGGCGTGTCTCTTTCCTCGTGTTGTCAAAATGCCTAGCGATAAGGAACATATCAATATTGTCGTCATTGGACATGTAGACAGTGGGAAGTCTACCACTACTGGGCATCTTATCTACAAATGCGGTGGCATTGATAAGCGTACCATAGAAAAGTATGAGAAAGAAGCTGCTGAGGTAAGATATCATTATTGTCTTTATCTTGGCATTTTAGATGGGCAAGGGGTCTTTCAAGTATGCTTGGGTGTTGGACAAGCTGAAGGCTGAGCGTGAACGTGGTATTACAATCGACATTGCTTTGTGGAAGTTCGAGACTCCCAGATACTCCGTTACAGTTATTGATGCTCCGGGTCATCGTGACTTCATCAAGAACATGATCACAGGTACTAGTCAGGCCGATTGTGCTGTTCTGGTTGTTGCTGCTGGTGTTGGTGAATTCGAAGCTGGTATCTCAAAGAACGGTCAAACCAGAGAACACGCCCTGTTAGCTTACACTTTGGGTGTTAAACAGTTGATCGTGGCAATCAACAAGATGGATTCTACAGAGCCACCGTATTCTGAAGCTCGTTACCAAGAAATCAAGAAGGATGTGTCCGACTACATCAAGAGAGTTGGGTACAATCCAGCTGGAGTTCCATTCGTCCCAATCTCTGGTTGGGTTGGGGACAACATGATTGAAAGGAGCACAAATATGCCTTGGTACAAAGGCTGGGATTTGACAAGGGGAAAGGAGGGGAAAACCGAGACTGGTTACACTCTTCTGGATGCTCTCGATAAGATGGAATCACCCACAAGACCTACAGACAAACCCCTCAGACTGCCATTACAAGATGTATACAAAATCGGTGGTATTGGCACCGTCCCCGTTGGTCGTGTGGAAACCGGCATTATCAGGCCTGGTATGGTTGTCACATTCGCTCCTCAAAACTTGACAACTGAAGTCAAGTCAGTTGAAATGCATCATGAAGCTCTCACTGAAGCTTTCCCCGGTGACAACGTTGGGTTCAACGTGAAGAACGTGTCCACTAAAGATATACATCGTGGCAATGTTGCTGGAGATTCAAAGAATGACCCACCGAAAGAGGCTGCGAGCTTTACCGCCCAAGTCATTGTCATGAACCATCCCGGTGAGATCAAGAATGGCTACTCACCTGTCCTTGATTGTCACACTGCACACGTCGCATGTAAATTCCACGAAATCACCGAGAAGCTGGACCGACGATCAGGCAAGAAAGTGGAGGACAATCCCAAGTCTATCAAGTCTGGCGATGCTGCAATGGTAGAACTTGTACCCACAAAGCCTTTGTGCGTCGAGCCATTCCAACAATACCCGCCACTTGGTCGATTTGCTGTCCGTGACATGAAACAGACGGTGGCTGTTGGTGTGATTAAGGCCGTCAACAAGAAATCTGACGCTGGTAAGGGTGCTAAGACCGCCGCAAAAGCAACTGCAAAGAAGAAGTAAATTTTTCATGTTGTAATTTTCCCAATTAAAGTTTTTCTTGGACACGTATTGTTTTTATATTAAGAGTTGTACCCGTCGTTTTGTTGTTGTCAGTGTTCGGTTCATGGGTTAGTTCTATGTTATGCTTTGTCTCTGTACGCGTTAGTGTTTGTAGTCTGAGTCTGATTCCTGAGGATATGCGCGGACGGGTGATGCCGAATTCAACAGTATGCCATAGTTAAGTTTATGCTTGGCGGTGTCATAGTAGTCCACAGGAAAGACGTATCTGGGTGTGCTCTGCATCAATGTGTTCATGAGAAGTGAGTTGTGTGTGGGCTCCTGCCTACTTCAGGTGGTGGCTAGTCTCTGTATGCGTCCCAGGTTTCTGGAACTTCGCAGCGAGACGGTTTGCCATAGGAGATCATGCGCTATTGATTAGGGACTTTTCTGTGTCGTGAGCGTTTGGCGTCCTATTCCAAGTAGTCGGCACGTGAGGCTTGTCGCTGAGGGGAAAGCCGCCGCTTCTCTCTTATCAGGCCCAAACATGGGTTTGAGTAGCATAGACACCTAGGTTCGGTTGGTCTCTGGTTTATCTGTTCTTAAATCTCGGGAGTTTGCGAAAGTTTTGAACGACAAGGCCTCTAGGACTCAACGATGTCATGGTTTGTGTGCAACAAACCGAATGTTGGACACGTATAAACCATCTTCACCAGGTCTCAACATAATATCATACAGGTCGTCCTGGAGGATGTCGCGAGGGATATGATGTGGATAGAGCCTGTATGTCGAGGGTTGGATCGCAGCAAGTTACAGTAGCACAGAAACGAGTCAGTGAATGGCAGTTGTACTAGTGTGACTAGTTACCCGGGAATAGGTGTGCTGATAGGAATAAAGCTTGCATAGGTCTTGTTGAGGAGTTGTTTGTCGTGAAATTTGTGGGTATGCATGAGGTACGACGACTAATTGCTGCATCATTCAATTCACGTGTCAGTCGCCGGGCTGAACCCGCTCAAGGTGGAAGCCTAGTTTCATATGTGTGTATGTGTATTTATATAACATTGGAAGCTAATTACTTTCCACCGTGTACGTCACATCAATGACCGCACCAACGTTCACAGGTAAACATTCGAAGTTTTGATGGCTTACAATGATGCATTAGCCTCATCTGATTGCGTAGGAGCCTTGGATTTCGTGTCTTCGATCTAGGTTTGGTGTTAGTACTAGGCTTTGTTGGGTAGTGGTGTAGGTGATAGTAAGTGCTGCAGGTGTAGGATACGATAGTCGGTGCACTCTGAGGACGAGTGTAATCATATTTCGGGACTTTCTAGTCTGAACGGAAGTGTAACGACGGATCGTTACGAAGTCCTTACTGCTTTTGTGAATCAAGGTTAAGGGTAGTGTTTACAGGCTCTCAGTAAAGCAACATAGCTTTGTTGAACACGATGAAGTTAGTTATGATGTGTACTCTGTGTTAGAGCGTGATTTTATATATTTGTTTGTATAGTGGTTTCGTTTGTGTTTGTGTCTTGCCTGAAGGTGTCGTGCATTCAATTTTATTGGTATGCGCAATTGATTGCATAGTGCGTCGGTGACACAGTGGTTAGGACACTCGATCACCATCCACGTGGTCCGGGGTTCGATCATCGGCCGACGCACTCCTTTACCGAGCTAAGCCAGAAATAGTGCTGGTAAAAAGGTGAGGTTGGGTATGAGGCTAGCAACCGTATCCTATAAAATTAAACACTGCTACAGAAACTTCAGGCCCTATGTTCCACTGGGAACGTAAAGGGAATAAAAATAGATTGACTGCTTAGGATTTTGTTGACTAGGGTATATGTAGCATAGAGGATTTCATCATGAACTGACATCCATGTAATGAAACACAATCCCTACAAAACCAATAGGGTACATATCACTTTGAACAACACATTTAGGCGAACAATGTTGTTTTCAATTAGATCTCATCAGGCTTAACTCTAATATGTATAAGTTTACAAATAAAAATTCAAATATAAACCAATCATGGTATTTTGTCGATAGGATAATACGATGGTGAATATAAATTGTGCAGTTAGTCATAATAGTGGTAATAATAATATTAATAATAGTAATAATAATAATAATGGTTTTATCAATAATAAGGAAGGAAAAGTGAGGCAATCTGTGATAACACGAATAATGAAAAACAGTATGATTAAACAAACAATTGTTCAGGTGGAAGCAGTCGATAAAGGCTATTTGAATTTTTATTTGTAAACTTATATATATTAGAGTTAAGCCTGATGAGATCTAATTGAAAACAATATTGTTCGCTTAAATGTGTTGTTCTAAATTTTACTATCGGAATATTTAATATCAATTTGAGTCTATTTATTATGCAACCCTGACGATTGTTGACAAACGTGTGAATACTATTTGGTGTTGGTCGAATATACCGTGAGAAAACAAGTCATAGTTGAAAGAGTAGTCTTGTGGCTGAAGCCCTTTACTGGACTAGGCTTCTTCAACTTCGGAGATGTTAGTAACGGTTGTACTAAGCGGACCAATCTATCTCTACGCGGCACTGTGCAAATGTGTGGATTGTTGTGTTGAAGCTATGGCATTCCAGCTACGTAGAGAGTCATTCATATCTTCCGTAGCATGGTTATTTTACAAATTTCTATGCATCCCTGATAGTCAACCTGAGTGAGGTTTCAGCCCACATCAACGCTTCAACAATCAAGGATTAGGAAACTTCTGTGTTTTGCGAACTGTGCTTCCAGTCATTGTTTGCGGTCATTACGCTTAATATGAGAAAACTAGATAGTCTTTTACTGATGTCAGTGTTGCGCTGAAACTTTGTTTACTTTTGCGATAGTTTCAAGAGGCCAGATTGCATTGATTCTCAGTTTATTTGCTAAAACGGGTTGGTCGCATACGTCTATCGATTCGTTTAATTGTGAACTTGTGTCAGTTCTACTAATCTGTTTGATTTACATATTTCAGTCACTGGCGCAGGCACTCGGCTTCCAGTCAATGGGTATTAGATTGGAGTCTGACTCCTAAATTCTTTCGCCGCAACTGGATAATATCATTTACCTTCATACATTAAGCGTAGCTCAGAGTACTGTACTGAGTAGCTGAGTGCCGAGTAACTAGGCTGGTTTGTGATATCTCAGCCTTTCTAAAACAGTGATACGGATGGGATATTACATGTATCGTTTCTCGTGGGATTTCTCACATATGAAGTGACAAAAGGCGCAATAGTGGAAGCAGACAGGGAAATGAACCTAGTTCATCTTTAATTTTGTAAGTTGCATAAAAGAACAGTGGTAACTGAAAGTGAACTCCATCGAAAAACTTAGAGATGATAGTAACTAAGGCATGGTACTGTTGTTTCTAGTTATGTATAAGGGTCCTTGCTAGGAGTTCTGGAGATACTGTGGATTAATTAGCGATTTCTACTTTCACCAGGGTACAAATTTTTTATCATCGGGACATGGCAGTTTTCCAACATACACAAATTCTGTGTCATTATTTTCGTGCTTGGTAAACGCTTTCATGCGTTGAGCAACGACATAAATTTGTCATCTGTTCAACTGCTTTATAATCTTTTATTCTGAAGTTATTAGGTAAATGAAACCTTATTCAAGTACTAGTTCGTAGAAGATTTAATTGGTCTCAAGGTAGATTTCGTCATTATCTAACATCATTTTGGGGGAATTTTTGAAAACAGCTCACTGGGCAGATTCTTGGCTTCAATTTGATGTTGCTCAGCTATGCACACACGATCTCATCATGGATAGACATTCAGATTACATGGTGGCCCTGTTGATTTCACAACCTCCTATTGAAAACGTGGTGAGATATGAATTTTTTGAGTTCTAATGAAAAGTTGTGACTGGTGGAGTTAATTGATATAAGAATTGAACTTGATCACCCTTTTGGAGCTTAATTCCATAATAAAATGTATTTGCGCTAAGATGGAATTAAACTGTTGGGGTTCACCTTGCCGGGGTGAGATTGGATGCACCTCTCTAATTTTGAAGGTGATGACGCGGCGCAACCTGCTGGTATGATTCGAGACGTGCTTGAGGACGGCAGTGGTGAACTGTAGTCTGGGTTAGCTAAGATATTAAGTACTGTGTGGGGATCTGGGATAATCTCTGCGGATTGGCTTAAATCATCGTTTATCACAGTTTATAAGTAGAAAGACAGGTTTTCCTGAGATAATCATTGGTGGATCAGATGACTAGCGTAGTATTTAATATAAGTTCAGTAATTCTGCGCAGACTAAGCGTTACTTAGGAAAAACCAGTCGAGGTTTTGACCTGAATGAATGTCTAATGACAACATTTTCACCCTTCAACAGATTCTAGAACATAGATGTAAAACACTTCACGCATATCTTGACCTGAAGGTAGAGTGTGACTCCGTCGACTGAGATGCGCTGTAGCAATAGTCTGGCCGTGGTTGAAATGGCGAGGGTATATTGCACTAATCATGGCATCCTGACTGAATTCACAATAGTGTAAGAGTTTACGAAGAGTTGTCATCTGAAGTGAACTAATTGCCTGGGCTCTAACCGACTTTAGCGGCTCAAGGATTTACTTCGTACCCTTCTGAATAACTTGAGGAGAATTCTGAATCGACTCCTACTTTAAACATAGGAAGCCTAGGGTTTGAGAATGTTGACCACTTCACTTATTTGGGAAGTCGTATTGGCCCCCAAACCTAGCATAGTTAACAGGGTTGCTGGTTTTCCAGGTGATCTCAAGTCCGGGTAAAGAGGGAGGGTTGGTCGTGGGGATAGCAACCCTGCATCACTAAACCTATCTGGCTACTAGGGAAACTTCGACGTACAGAAAATATATCATTTATTATTTTTTCCTTCACGTTCCCAGTGGAACATAGTGGCTTGAAGTTTCTGCAGCAGTGTTTATTTTTACAGGATGGGGTTGCTAGCCTCATGCCCAACCTTTCCTCTTTACCAGAATTATTTCTGCCTTAGCGAGGTAAAGTAGTGCTTCCGTGGCGGGGATCGAACCCCAGACCATGTGCATGGTCAGCGAGAGTCCTAACTGCTGTGCCACCGACGACGGAAAATATATTAAAAATT